CAGATAGGTAGTAGGTAACTTAGGGTACGAGTTTTAGTACGAGTACGAGTTTTAAAAATGCCTTTCAATGAGTTTTTTTATATTTCTATGATGTTTAAATCGTTTTACAGGAATGCAAATCATGATCAATAACACACACAACGCCAATTACAAAACTCGTACCAGTGAACAATCTTGTTCTCGTTGTACAAGAGGTCTAGCATACCTTGTAATTTTCAACTGCGAGCGTTTCGTCCTTCATAACGAAAGGAAACACAAAAGTGAGAGAAGACAAATACAGACACCACTCCATGAAGTTCGCTATGTCCATGAAATATCGTCCTCGTAGCAGATACATTTGATACAATTCTTTTAAAAGGTGAAATCCTGAAAACGCTAGGATCGTCATTGGTACGATTCTTCTATCGTTATCGCGTTCGTCGTAAACGACATCCATATCTCTAGAAGCACTGCGGTTTTGGAGAGTTTTTACCGAAACGTGGTTCCTTTCCGTCATTATAAAACCCGTCAACATCATCAGAAACACAGAGTATATGAAAATATTAAAGAAATAGATAAGTCTTCCAAACTTTCTCCATTTTAAGCTCAAAAGTTTCCTTGCAAGGGGATGGGTCAGTAGATCTTGTCGTTTGAATTGAACCATATCTATTAAACCAAGGTACCGTTCCCCTTCYGGTCCGCTGACGTCGTCGGGGCCTGGGTCGAGGTAACGGAAGTTGTAGGACGTGACGACTTTGGTTGATTTGCGTTTTACACTGAGAGACCGCTGGACACAACGATCCATGACGACCTCCGCCGCTTCGGGGAAGGTTTGTATCAAAGTAGTCATTGGATTTTGCAGACCATGACAGTGGACRCGGAATATCTCTTCCCATCTGAATGGCAATTATTAGTGTAAGATATATCATCAATATTACATTATCATCAACAACAGACTCGTGCCCAGTCGTTTCTTCGCGTGGCATCAAGGGAAGTTCGAACTAGCAGAGAGAAACGGTTACTGTTTCTTCCGACTTCCCTTGATCCTTTGCGCGAGCCAGAGAAAAAAGAAGCGTAACGACTGGGTACGAGTCTACATCAACAACAACATAAACGCGATTATCATGTGTAGAGACGCCATTTTGTGTAACAAAGCATGATGGGAGTTGTATTCCCTGCACGAGAACTACCACCGCCATCATGCTTTGCTGTACAAAATGGCGTCTCTGTACATTGCCGATTATAAAAAAACAACAACAACAACAAACAAAAAACATTGGTGTGATATACATAATGACAACTCTATAGTTCATCGGTTGAAAACCAATCCGTGAAATATTTAACAATTAGACCACKAGAACAAATGGACTACTGGTTAATATGATGGAAACTAGCGGTAAACTTATGAGATTTGCGTTGTTGTTTCTAAAGAAACAGTTGTGTAAACAAATAAATTTAACACCGGTAGTCCACGAGGTCGAACTCGGGCGAATGAACAAAACAACTCGTTGTTCACGAGACCGACATAATATCCCAGAGTTTGGTTAATACTCAATGTTGATAGTTGGGTACTTTTACTTTTACATCGGAATGTCTTCATGTGATTTGTCACGTTGTTGCTATAGTTACCTGCTATGCTTGACAATTGCCATGACAACATCGCACTGTTGCTGYTCMACTGCGCAGTCCAAACAATTCATCTGATTGTTGTTCAATGTAATATCAATCCCGCTATCAAGAAGCAACTTTGCAATCTCTACCTGGTTGTTATAACACGCCACATGTAATAAAGTGTTTCCCTTGTTGTCTACGCAGCCAAGTTGAGCTTTGTTTTCTAAGAGCAATGACGTAGTGTCCATGTCACCACTCTTCACAGCCCACATTAATGGTGTCCAGCGGTTTGCGTCTTGGGAATCTACCTCAGCTCCAAATCGGAGAAGGTTTGCGCAAAGTTTTCTGTTGAAAAGTTAAAATAGTCATAGTCAATTCCTATTCAAAGTTTGTCACGWTGTAGTTATCAGAGATGTCACTTTGGCTATGTCTGCATGAATGTAATTTGAATGAAAAGATGAAATCGGAAGCTGTTTCATTTCAATCGAAACGTATGACAAGTGATTTTTCTGATGATAATTTCATCATCATCAACATTTTAATCGTCATCATTCCAGCGGCTGTAGCTACCATAAGGCAAGCGAAGCACAAGTGTAAGAATTTTAACTTTCACTGAGTGCTTCGACAAAGGCCGAATTAGACGGCAAAACTTTTGCCTTTCACAATCGCATGCAACCTGCTCTAGTCGGTTTAATAACATAGTTACAACTGTCTTAGAGATTCAAAATAATTGTTTAATAGCCCTACAATAATTGCAGCTAAGTTGCATTGGATGTTGCATGTGACGGTTGCGCCGTCTAATTCGTCCTTAGAGATTTTTATCTGGCTACAGTCAACAGCATCGCCATTATAACCAAGACCCATCAAACCATGTAAATCTGTCCGTCAACTAACCTTCGTTTGCCTATCGCTGCATAGTGTAATGGAGTTCTCAGCATATCATCTCTGTCAAACACAGCTGTAATCCCCGCACGAGCAAGTAGTTCGACAACTCTGTTCTTTCCCACTTCAGTAGCAAGATGGAGCGCAGTTTTCCGATGAATATCTTTCCTGGCAGTGGTGGGTTTGTGTTTAAGTAGTAATTCCACTATCTAAGGAACAAATCTGATGTTATTGTTACAGCCCTACAATAATCCAGTTTCGAGATCTTATTTGTGCAGTCATAACCTCGAACGAATGTAATATATTCTTTTATTCAGCAAAGATCCTGTTGTAATGCAAACACTCTGTGTACAAAGAAGACAATAAAAATTCATGCTTGATTGAGGCTAAGCTTGCACAAAAGAGAATTCGAAACTGGAGTATTGGGGACAAAACTATTCAAGGCACTTTCTTTTCCCGTTAATTCAACCTTCCATTCACCCGATTCAGGGTTTCTACTTGTTGGGTCGTGATGACCTGCATTTTTATATTGAAGCCTTCCAAAATTGAATTAGTGAAGACAAGACAAGAAGAAATGTCTTTAGTATCTAAAGGTCTTAAAAAACATACTCCAACATTAACACAAGCGACAATACATTTTTAAACCTAACAATGTTTCAGGGGCAGATCATGGATTTTTCCAGAGGGATACGCTATTAAGGGTTGACATAAAAAAACCTTAATCAGTTGAAAAAGGCACCGGTCAATATCTGTGTTTTGGAGAACTATAGGGTGTCTGTKTTTCCAATTAAYCCAGGTGGATCCGCCAYTAACAATGTAGATTTACCTTTACATTCCCAGTCAAGGCGGCGTAGTGTAATGGCGTCCTTTCCTTCTCTGGTTCATATTTATCTATCAATTGTTTCCCTTTCTTCTTCTCCAAGAGAAATGACACCAAGTCRTCGTGTTCATTCTCAACTGCAAGATGGAGGCATGATCGTCCATTATTATCCAACATTAGGATATCAGCCCCATAGTTCACAAGCAGGCACRCACACTCAAACTGACCAGCGGTTATTGCRTAAAGAAGTGGYGTCARTTTGTTGATGTCTTTGACGTCAACACTGGCGCCTTGGTTCCACAAATGCTTGACGGCTTCGCTGTTACCAATAGATGCAGCGCTGTCAAACAAAGAGATTTTTGCTGAGTGATAGAAGTAGGGAAGACGATATACTAACCTCAATGGTACGGCAATGGTTTGGGAGATTTGGGGAGATTTTGAGCGATTTGGGGTCATGGASCAGGCATAATGATGTTGATAATAGTCTTCTTCACGGTTCCCTGAGCCATCTTAAAAGGTAGCCATGCCTTTGCATCGAAGCGAGACGACCGTTGAGCGCGCAATGATAGAAACCTTCTTTCACACATACAGACAATTATTCACAGGTATCTATCATTGCAAGCTCAACCGTCGTCTCACTTCGATGTAAAGSCACGGCTACCTTTCAAGATGGCGCATGTAACCGTGAGGAGACTTGAATTTCTTCCTTCCCAGGTACTCACTAATGTAACGGAGTTTTCATATCCWCGTCCTGACAATTCGTCTTTGCTTGTTTGGTCAACAGCAATTCAACAGTCTCACCTCCGCCACACATGGCCGCAAAGTGYAGAGGAGTCTGATTCGAGTTATTCACTGCATTGACGCTAGCGTTATGCTGGATGAGTAACTTTATTATTTCAAAACAACCTTGCTTCACAGCAATGTGAAGAGCTGTATCGCCTGATTCGCTCTTCGCGTCGATGAAATTTTGGAACTTTGTATTTGTCGTCGATGAAGATGAGGAAAATACATTGACGGGGGATTTGAAGTATCGCTGAATTGCTGTAAATGAAATGGGAAAAGCTTTGYGTCATGTCGCAGATAATAGAACATGACAGTTGATTATATAACGTGACTTGGCAAGAATACAAGAAACTGACAGTTATTTACATTTCAATAAAACCAGCGAGTAAGATCTGCGCCAAACGTTGAATTTCACATGTACCGAACTCAATGCAATTTAGATGGTGATCAGAAACTAAAAGATTAGAGTGAAATGCATTGAATTCGTCACATATAAGATTCGACATATGAGACAGGAATTAGCAAAAAAGTCCAAACTTTCATTCAGTCTAAATGGGATTACAATGAACTGAATCATGTGAAATTCCAATTCGATACCGTAACACTTTATGATCTAGTTTCGCAATTAAGATACCAATCCATTAAAAAAGGTACAATTTCTGGAATTACCTGAATCAATAACTGCCGAAATAACTCTGATATYTGAGCCATAGACAGCAGTGTGCAGAACTCGAAAGTCTTCGACCGCACTGGCATCAATACTTGCTCCATGGAAAATTAGCAACTATTGAAACAATCAAAAAACGTGCAACATTAACATACGCAAGAGCAAGAGCAAAGGCAAGGACAGGAGCATCAGCAGGAGAGAGAGCAGGAGTAACAGCAGAAGCGCTGGAGTATAAGAACAAGAGCATCGACAGGAGAAGGAGAAGGAGTACCAGCGGCAACAGTAGCAGCAAGAGGATAGAGCGGATTTCGTATGAGTGGGAAACGGACAATACTGTACTGTGACCGTAATCGTACTGTAACCAAATTCTAGTGCCCCATTGGTTCACAAAAATTGTGCAGGCCAGGTCCGGTAACTGTGCGGTAACCGTGCGGTAACGGTGTCCCACTCATACGAAATCCGCTCTAAATAAGCACGTGTAAATAAGATAGGAAGATTCCAAACATAAAGCCACAAACCTTAGTAGGCTCTAGGTTCCCATATGAAGATGCWATATGCAAAGGTGTAGCAGAAATACAATCCTTGATATCCAATTCAATGTTTGCTTTTGAAAGGAGAAGTTTCATTACGTCAACACTGTYGAAACGTCCACACACGTGAAGTGGCGATTGCCCATTAGATGGCGATTGAAAGTTTGGGTTGGCTCCTCGGTCAAGCAAAACTCTTGCTGCATCSACAGAATTGAATCTATAGGAAACGTTTGTTAATAATACTCGTTTGTTTGTTTGCTTGTTTTGTTTTTGAAGGGTTTTTGTTTTGTTTCTCCTTTCCATTATTAAAAAGGCAGTTTATTGATCGTAGAAACTCTCGCTACATAGAAGAAATTGAATTCTTAAGTGCAAATCCTCATTCGTTATATAAATAATATATTGCCAAATGAATGAGGGTTTCAATATTCCAGGCATTTCCACAACTTCCAAATCCCATCGAATTCCCAACAGACAGAACCTTAATTAAACAATGGCAACACTTTAGTTTTTCTCTCGCTAAAAAGATCAAATCACAAATCAAAGTTCTACGGCATATTCATTATAGGGCATAACTAAATGTTTTAAATTTTGTGTTTTGGTATTGATTTTGAATGATTATCCGACGTCAAGGAAGGCTCAAAGGAAAGATCAATAAGTTGCGGAACTAGCACGACTGATTCACGCGAACAAAAGTAATAAATAAGTTGAACCTTGACTGTTTTCGCTCTGACCGCTAATTGGGTCAACTAGAAACAATGGGCACCTGTTTTGGTTGTGTCAAAATGGATGCATACATGTTTACATGTGCAAATACTAAATGGATGCATTAAAAACTAACGAAGCATTAAGTGACAGTTATGTAACCAAAAGACTCAAATCTAACTTGCTTGCCGTCTGAAATATYATTTCTGCTCAACTTGGAATTGCCATCGAGTGTCAGTACAACTAATTCAAATCTTTCTGCACACCTCAACATGTGTATGTCATCTGTTCATATCATTGTTGATATGCGCTGAGAAAATCCTAACAGTACTTAATCCTACAATGGAGCTCTTTGACGTGTAGATTCTAACTTGAAACATCTGAAAGATATGCTTGGTCATACAGGCATAATACCATTTTCAAGTTGACTTTGACGCTTTGACTATAAATTTAAGACATGCATGCAATCTGTTGTTTTGGCAATGCTCTATATGACCTTGCCAAAAAGTCAGTGCAATCGTATTCTACAGGCTTATAATTCATAACCTAAATTGCACCGGATTTGCAAACAACACAAATTGTATTTTGTCAATAAAAATATAGGCGTTGTGTTGTATGACTTTGTTATGTTACATAATTACATTGCATTACAAATGACTTTTGCGATTATTCCATCTTAGGTATTCTTTATTCAGGGCTTCTGTATTAACCTCATTTGCGACGGCAACTGGATTTAAATTAAACTCAAGGAAAAAAAAAACAACCTTTGACATCTCTTTTACTAAAATCATTAAAATTAGCAATACACTTAAAGAGTTTAAAAATATATTTATCTAACCTGCTTGCCATGTGAAGAGCAGTGAGGCCATTTGACGAGGACACCATGTTACAYTCTGCTCCAAAATCGAGCAAAATAYTGACAACCTGTGCTCGGTTGTATTTAGCAGCAATGTGTAATGGATAGAAACCYTCTTCGTCRCACTCATGAACCAGAGATGCATCTCCAATRATTAGAGATCTTAAAACGCTTATTAAACCCTCTGAAGTCGCTTTATAAATCTCTGAGCTCTTTCTCTTYTTCTTGTTCTTTGGATTRGTAGACGGTTGAAGAAAGCCATTTTGTAGTTGGCTCTCCTTTGTGGAAGGGTCTCTCTGTTTAGTTTTTTTGACATAACCGTTTTCACTCGCGTTGTTATGGATATAATGATCGTTGTCGGAGAATTCAAATGCATTATTTGAAAACATTACCAATAAATTCAGTCCCAAAACTTGATTTGCTTGAATACTTCTGTCTTTCTACAAGCCAGCTTATTTTCAATGAATTCTCACGCTTTCGTCTTCAATAAATTCTCCCATATGTCTCTTCCTGCGGGAATCCTCGATGTTATCTCTCTCATTACAAGGAACAGCAAGTTTCATTGGTAATTTATATATGTTAATCCCAGATTCAAACGAAATTAGAAAATCTATTATACGCCAAATCTCTCTATGACTCACTTGAATGTTTCTTTTGTCTTGGGACGTGCTAATAGTTGGCTGAGGAACCAGTATTTTTTTAGTTAATTTGCAGAAACCAGGAAGCCGYTGAAACCTCYARTACAGTAATACGAATTTCAAAAAGTCATAATAAGTACTGGCAACAAAACAAATATTTAAATTATTTATCTATATCTGTCAAGAATATTATTTCATATGTAAAACCTCTACAAAAACAGTCGATAGGGGGTCAGAAACACAATATTGTTTTGTCGGCATCATAATATAGATATATAGCCGAACCAATGAGGGAAAATCCATACGAAATATATGATATATAAATGCAGGAGGTCTGCGATAACTTAGCGTCGAACTATCAAATATGGGTACTGCATATGATTTKAGGGTTTTTTTAATTAATATTGTTATTGCTTAAATTGATATCTAGTCAAGTAGAAATGTGATAAATTTTAACTTATAATCAAATTAGTTTATTACTTCACAGCAAATATACCATTTCGTCCGAGATTAAAGTTATAAATAAATAAATAAAAAACAAAGTTTAATGAAAAAAGTTTTCTTTCCGGCCGTTTTATTATTATTTGACGTGATTGTAAAGGTTGCGTCGCGTTGGTTCGATCAGTGGTTGGTAATTTTAAGAGTTTTGAGCACATTACGTTTTATCATTTATGAAATCAGTTTTGTTAGCTTTCTCTTAGTTTTTAGCCAAATATGCCAATTAGTTATTTATTTGACGTGATTGTAAAGGTTGCGTCGCGTTGGTTCGATCAGTGGTTGGTAATTTTAAGAGTTTTGAGCACATTACGTTTTATCATTTATGAAATCAGTTTTGTTAGCTTTCTCTTAGTTTTTAGCCAAATATGCCAATTAGTTATGCCAATTAGTATTGAAATGATGTCCTTGAGATGTCCTTGACTTTTATATTGCTTTTTGCAATAGTTTTATGCTTTCATTACTTATTTATTTATCGTTGATTCATTTGTTGATTTGATAACAAGCAGCTTCTTGATTTTCATTTATTTTTACCCGTCAAACTTTAGATTACTTATCAAGATGGKTCACTTATTTGTTGATAATACCAAATTTGGTTTTTAAATCGATTTTTATTTATTTTTTATTGGTTTTTGCCTCAAATACAACATCAATTTGGTTGGAAATACGGATTACTTTCATGTAATCAGACAACATGGCGCACAAATTCGTTTAATAAATTATGAAAAGACATAACAGTTATAAGAATGCAGTAATAATACAAAAGAACTCATTCAAGCTGAACTGAACGTTACCGAAAGTACTTAATTTTTGAAAGACACTATTCTCGCTACCCCAACTGTGTGGATGCAGATTATTTGATGTTCATCCAATAGAGTCATCACACTTGTACCGTGAAACATAATCAATGAAGTAGTAACTATTAGTTTTTATTTACTGACTCCTTGTATGAAATAGTAGATATCACTGAACCAAAACAATTTTTAAAAACAAAAGGTAATACACAAGACACTTGGAAGCCAAACAACGTTATTAAAAGCTACCTAATGAAGAAGGAGGAATTTGTTAAAATATGTCCCACCCACAAGGAAAGAAACAAAGAGCTAGTTTAGTTCTTTGTTAAACCAAGAGGAAAGATGTTGGGAAGGGCTATAGAACTTGTGTTAAATATAGGCTTCATGGAAATCGAGTTCATTGACAGGACATAAAAAGAATTGCCCTATTATTGATTATATAAAGGGTGTAAGTGAAATAGATAGCTATAGTAACTTACTTTATAACTGTTGCGAGCGCTGCTGGAAATAATGATTTGGTAACTATTGTCCCATGCTAGAAAGGTACGTATCTCGCAAACATTCCCGAAATGATTAATAAAATTCCTTCTGTTTTATTTTGAGCTTCAAGCAAATGATATGTTTAAAACGTCGCCGCTGGTTGTTGTCAAGTCGCTTAATTATATTGACAAATAACTCAGCTTTGAGCGATAGAATTCGTTCGAAACCACGTTGCTTTTATATATTTTTGCGGGTAATTTCAGTGCGTCTTGTCTTGATTTTTAGTTTAGGCTCTTATAATAAACTCGTTAGAAAACACGTTCATTTGCGTACTGGGTTTGCTTATTGTTACAGTATTTTCAATTTAGCCTTACAATGTCTTCTGTCATAATTTTGCTGCGGCGCAGACAATAAAGACTCCAAACGCGTTTTATTGCGTCTTTTGTGGTTATTTTAGCTTTAGATGTGTCTTGTGTCTTGATTCCACAGCAGCGCAAATAAATAAAGATTCCTGAAACGCGTTTCCTTGCGTACTGTGTGGTTATTTTAGCTTTAGATGTGTCTTTTGTCTGGATTTTACATGAAATAAAGATGGCAGTTGTCAAGTCTCTTGTGTATTGCCTTTTGTTTTCATGAACTGTGTTCGGTTCAGTAATATCTACTATAAGTCAATAAATAGACACTAATATTTAGTGTTTATTTTGATAATATTTCACGGTACAAGTGTGATGACTCTACAATCTCGACAGCAGTTAACTATAATTTGCAAAGAAACTTCGTCCTTCGTCATCCGCCATMTTTCTACTATCATCAATACCATGATGCACTTCGACAAAAGTCGCATGACGTCAYTTTTTTATTTGTCCATAAAATTTGTTGCTCGCGTCATGCATCAATGAAAAAAGGTTCCAATGTGGTTTTTAAGGTCGCTGGGAGCGCGGCTTAGTTCGATTACTGGAATCGTTGACCATTTTTTTCGAGAAAACCATAGCACCGTTGACAATCCATATCAAACTAGCTTTCAATTGGAATATTGTTCGTTTTAATATTTACAGCAACGCGTTAATTAACAAAGGATTCGAACATTGACAATTCAATGAAATGAGGGATATCAAAGCTAACAAAACATTTAGTTCTCAAAGTTTTTACTTATAAAGATGAAAGGTTTAGAAAAAGGCATAACAAACACTACATCAAGGCTACAAACAACACAGAAAGAATTTCATTCAAATCAATGTATTTTCATTGGTTCATAACTTCATTGGCATTAGTTATCTAAAGCTTCAATACTTCCTAAAATGTAAATTCCTGATAGCGCTACAAAATGATAATACCCAACATTTTCTACGATATTCTTGTCTTGCAAGTTATGTCATCACAGCCATGTTGGATGAAAATCACAAAGCATTCCTCATTAGTTTCTTTTGTTCATTCATCCAACATGGCGGCGATAGCTTTGTTCGTTATGAAAGTGGACAACTTCACTCACTCGCTCACTTGAGTCCTGTAAACAGCCGGTCGTTCATACTGGGTTGGAAGCTACATTTATGTTTACAAATTTATTTCGGTTTTATAAATCTATAGATTAACGCTGTCTAATCGTGTGGATAAACTTTCCTTAACCAAGGCTTTGGGAGATATTGYGCACCATCAAATTCCGTGAAATATTCTTCAACTTCGTCGTGAACAATCTAAGATAAATCCAACGAAAAATCAAACATCAATTCATGATCACCCATTCATCCCTGTTCAGCCGTTTGACTATTTCAGATCAATTCATGGAATTTGTTAATAGACGATTTCCGAGATGTGTATAACCSCTTTTAAAAAACATCGCTTGCGCACGCATGAAAGCGAGGTATTCCGGAGCAGTTTACCAAGAAAGTTTTTTTTTCCTAAATCATCTGAGGTCAATTGTGCGAAGTATTGACAAAGCTATGCACTTATCGGCTGGACAAGGATTTTACACGCTGGACAGCGCTATTCCTATAAACCCTTCCTCCAACCGAACGCTGGCTCATATGCGCGCCTGCGATATTTATAAAACTACTTCAGATTTTAAAATCTACATTGGTTACCAATCTCATTAATCAAACGTTAATTAAATTCGTTAATAATTTTATCATGCAATCGTTTATCTATTTGTACATTAATAATTCCACTTGATTATTAACTTGTTAGTTTAAATTAATTTATTTTGATTGCACACCTTGCATGCAGAGATGGCAAAAAGAGAAAAAAAATTTAAAATCTTGATATTTAAAAACTGGGGGGACAATTTTTTTTTTGACACTCTTATAGTATTCAGCCTTCAATAAAACTGTTACATCATTTTGTCACTTAAAACTGTAAAATAACGTCTATTTCCTAGTCCYTCTCGTATCAAGGAGATACAGGGAACCCAAGCAAAGATATGACCTACCTTAGTATTTGTAATAATCTCTAGATTTTCTTCAGGGAYATATGTGGTCTGACTCTCAGGTCTGTCTCTTGTATCAACAAGGATTGAATAGTTTGGCATGTGCTGCCAATGCTGGAAAAAAGTTCATACTTTACATTATCATGACCTGGCCCTTAACAATCTTAAAGGGACATGGCCCACTAGCATGCAATGCGGTCGTGTTTTAGATTTTTCATATATGGAAAATGAGTTGACTTCGAATATCCATTTGCAATCCGTTTCCATCCATGGGTTTAACGGCCAAATCTTAAAGCATCTCCATTCATATAGGATAAAGGAATAATAAAGAGTATAAGTTTTTGCTTATATTACGATGTATTTCTATTTTCAAACATAAACAAAAGCTCCAAAGGATGCTGGTGGACCATTTAAGAATAACTTTAAAAAACGGTGCCATGCGGTACCCATATTCGTTTCCTCATATTCATATCTTTACATTATTCTATTACAGCAACCTAACATCTATTTCACCCCGGCCTGCTCCCAGTCTGGCCTTGTAGCTCAGTTGATAGAGCATGGGTAGTACAAATCCGAAGGTCATGGGTTCGAATCCCAGCAAGGTGGGAAATTATTTTTTCCTAAGGGTCTTTCTCACGGAATTACCTATTTCTAAGCACTACAACTTTCTTTCATCTCTATACTGTTTTTAAAAATGGTGGTCTGAGCAAGGCCACATACGGATTCCAAAATTAAGCACTAATTGCATTATAACATGTACTTCCATGTACTAATCTTACCTGTTTATCCACTGGATGATTGGAKGATCTCCAAAACTCAGGAGCCTGCAAAAAGAAAAAAAAAATAAGGAACACCTAATATTACAGTGTATTTTGTAATGTTTACAACATGAGCGGCCGTGTTGTATGAGATTTTGGCTCGAGATTGTAAAGCCCATACAACACGGATGCGAATGTTGTAAATTACTTGTGAAACGTTTAGGTGTATACATTCTAATCTACTAAAAACTTAAAGATAAAATTGAATTTGGCTGAGAAAATTAGATTTGAAGTTTATGCAAATCAAGACAGTTTTGTATCAAATATTACAACACTCTTCACGGTTGTGATTTCTATTGTGTTTTCCTCATTAATTATTCATGAATTTTACAAGACTGATTACAACATGAATATGATTTTGTACGTTATGTGAAGTTTTCAAGAGATTTGGACTCGAAAAAAACGAACCTACTTTACCAATTACACTATTTGGGAACGTAAATGATACCTTTACATCTTCAATAGACAATAGACCAAAGATTCCAGACATTTAGGAGACTGCTCTAATCAAACTGTTATAATTATGAATTTGTAAAGCATACCTTAAGTTTTTCRTCCCATCCCACAATTACACCTCTATAATTCCACTTCTTGTGTCTTATAACTTGTCCAACTCGAAACTTTATTGTKGATGGTCTTGGGCTGCGTGGCTCTGCAGAGGCGCCAAAATGACCATCTGGGTTTCTCTGTTTTATAACCTCCAACGCTGGACATTCTCCTCCACTGTCAAACTTTGACATGAAATGAGAAATCCACTCCTTCCATTTTTCCCATTCTAGTACTCCACTACTGAACAGGGTTAGTGAATGTGTTAATCTGGTCAAGGAAAAAGAAAATGCATGAATGGAAATGAGATAATCAAGCAATCAGCTTATCATTAATTAATAACAATGATAAAGATAATGATAATTTTATTGAAAAAATAACTTCTTTAAAATGCAAATTTTCAAACCAAATGCTGTGCAATTCTCTACAACATAATGATAAGAATCATGATCATCATTATGATCATAATTTTTTATTATCATCATAATTATCATCATTGTTGTTATTATAGCATTTATAAAGCCCTTATCTAGTCTAAATCTAATTCTAATGATAATTTAAAACTATTTTGCAATAATAACATAAAATCAAGTTACATGATTCACAAAATTATTTTCACACTAGTAAGTAAGAAATAATAAAAGCTACCGACTGTCTAAAAATAATAAAGAATAGATAAGTGAATGAATGAATGGAAGGAAGGACATTTAAAAATAGGAAGATGTTAAGGTTAAATGAATAAATGGATGGATGGGAGAAATGAACTCATCGAAACAAATGAGTGAATGACTGAAAGAATAAAATGGATGATCAAATGAATTATACTTCATCATAGTAATGCTAGCTATGGTTGTGCTTTTTTAAGAAGCAAAGTGCATTTGAAACAGAAACATAACTCCCTTTTAGASCCMGYTCTCACTACAACATAAGCAGAGGCCAAAACARAAGCTGGTTCAAACTTGACTGTATATGATGCTTACATTCTAGTAGTTCACACTGACAATGTTTTAACAGAACCAACACAAGAAACATAAGAAAATGGGGAACTTTGTGTTCCTTATGTTTATGTTTATGTCTGTTGTATGTTTTCCCTGATTCAGTTGTAGAAAATACTAGTATTTATTTCAACACAAGAATCTCAAAAGCGCTCATTTTAGAAGTCATTTCGTTTATATGAAATTTAATACATCCATAAGCAACAGTTAAAAAAAACATTTTAAATTTTCCTACGTTACAAGCTACATTCATAATCATGAATGTTATGTTTAAACTACTGCCGTAAATTGATACGTGGAGCGAATTCATTGAAAGTTTTAATATATCGGGAAAACATCGGTTCCAAGAAGAGTCYATGTAAACCACTTACTTTCTCATGAGAGCATCTCTCTCTCCAGCCGAAGGAGTCGTCCATTTACATATAAAATATTGCARTGGGATGGCTAAGATCAAAACAGCCAGTTGGATTGCAGCTCGTGGCATGTCACAAGATCACGACGAAAAAACCTCAACAGATCTTGAAATTTATCGATCAAGACGTAGAAATTGCACCATTTCCACCAGGATTATAGCTTTGCTCTTTTTAGATCCTAGATTTTAAGAAGGTTTCGATTGCAGCGAAGAGAAATCAAGAAAAAACTTTACAAACACGATTGAAAGGGACACCAGTTCCAGACTTCAAAGGACACAGGAAGCCCGAAGTTTATTTTGAAAAACTCGCACAGGTAGCCCAGCTCTCGGTAGCTATCTAAATGGGAACCATTCAAATAAAGCAACGAGAAAACTCATTTCCGCAGTCCTTTTTGTACTGGAGTATCCAACCCGCTTTGAAATAATCCACCATTGGTATGTATTTTAGTCTAGTAATAAATAACTATTTTTTACTAAATTTGCGTACTAAATTTGTGTAATTATAATAAGTTTCTTTTAAAAAATTTTCATGCAAGTAAAATATAAACAAATAAAAAAAAACGGGGTTGAATACCAAGGCTTTCAGGACTATTTGTTAAGATGGCCGACCTCTAGCTTCCAGCCTCATACATGTTCAAACGCGCGTTAAAATCCCCGCTCTTTGCCCCGCTTCTAAAACACGACCCCCCGGGGCAATCTTGCTGTTAAGCACGTAAAAAATCGTCATGTCACCGTTAATGACACCGTCAGTTTTCTATGACATATRGTTGGCCATTACAAAGGTCACATGACTAATCAACATGCTCGTTTTTATTTTAGCACGCCTATTCCACAATCACTGAATAATTCTTGCYAAAGGCGGATGATTCTTCTTGGACGTTTATCAAATCACTTGGTTGCAAAGGTTCTAAGGTAAGTAAAGTTTTTCATTAGTTATTTATTCCTTTATGACTTTAAGGCAAAAGATAACAATAAAAATCTTCAGAAACTCCTTTGAGCATTTTTGTTAGAAATTTCCCCAGGTACATTCTGGTGTGTGGTGCCTGAGCTTCTTACGAAATTTGTATTTTTTAACCATTTTTATGATACAAATCCACAAAGATTCCAATCAGCAAAAACACAAATAAATTCACTTCAATAAAAGAGGGACTTGTAGCTAAAAGCAGCTTTTGAGAGATTCAAAACAAAGGAAAAGGACAAAAAAAACAACTAAATAAAATCAACTAAAATACAGTTTTAATAAAAGCCCGCGGTAAAAATGCAATAGAATTGAAAAAGACCAAACAACCAGATTAAAGGGGAAAATGATTTTCCAGATAAAAAACTAATTCTAAAATACTGTTTCAGATACGTGTGCAGTTTAAACCAAAGCGGGAACAATACAATAGCATTGAAAAAGACCAAACAGCCAGATAAATGAGAAAATGATTTTCCAGATACAAAACTATCTMCATTTATTTATTAAAAGGATGATTTCTTTACAGTTGTTTACATCAGAAAGATATCTTTTGAATAGAAAGAGATTATATTTTTCAAACGAGTAAAACCTTTAATCAAAATAATTTGCCTGCTAATTTTCTTTCGAGACTATTGATCTTGAGTGGTCTGGATGTTTGCCACATCCAACATGGTCGCCATGTTTTYTTCGCCCTTTCTAAATTGCTACCAACAAAACAAATCACGCAATTTTAAGCCGTGCTGACTTCATAGGTAGCAACTCTTGTTTAAATCATATGTATATGAAAATGAAGGTTTTTTGACATAATTTCGAATCAATTTTCACCAAAATCAAATTCCTCGTGTTCAAATGCGCGCCTMCCATATTTTTGAGATTTCATGAATAAAGAGTTGTCGCAAATCGTGSCACGCTTTTCTTGAGAAGTCTTCACTTCAATAAGCATTTGGCCAAAAGGCACAGTAAATCTGCCACCGTTGATTCTTCACTGAGTTTCCAATTAAAGTTCTAGTTAATTTTAGACGTTACCCTCCCTCCTTAAGCACATAAAATTAGATGTTGCCCCTTCTCTGGATTCTCTACCCCCCTCCTTTTAAATATTGCGCGCAGTCCCTTATTTTACAAATCAATGAAACGAAATGTAGAAGCTTTCWGAAATACCTTAGGTGCCCCTATGAAAATGAGTTTATTGACAGAGCTTCGAAGGTATTTTTCTCATGTTCATCAGTCAGCCTGCGATATTTTTGAAAGCACGGCCCTGCATCTTAGAAATCAGCTATTTTTTTCTATATTATTCATATAATCTTATACAGGCGTGTTATTGGAATCCATAGCCATGTCCTGGGTCTTGCTCCTCCTCGCAGYAATGGTTCCGTCAGCAATTGCGCATCATGTCGATTCCAAAAACGGTACGTTTGTTTTTATACAGAGGATAGCCTGATCAAACATATAGCGACAATTGTCTTCGCTGAAACTTGCAAAATTTACAAAACAAATTACTCAAAAGTAGCCTAAACAGCCTGCAGCTAATCCAAAAAAACAACGTTGTGGCTCTCTTGAGGTTACGATATCCAAAAATTAATTAAAGAAAAACATAGGCATGCAAGCTAGCAACAAAAAGTGATCCGTCCGCGCGACTCCAGAGATTTRCGATCCAAAAATCAGCTTGGTGTCTTCGCATTGTTTCGGGAAATTACTGTAACCTGAACCAAGAAGAATCTCTGGACTCGTGTGGGCGAGACTTAAGCAAGCTAAATTCTAATCAGAGGCATTGATTTCGTAATGGAGGCAAGTGAGAAGGGGATTAAGAGTCGGAGCATCAAAAATAATATTAATTATAATGTAATGAAACAGTAATTTCTTAAAATATATGTGTATTTCGAACTGGTTTTAAATGTTTTGTCAGTGGTAATATAAAACGGAACAAATTCTTATTAATTCTCAATTCAAATTTCAGAAAATTACGATTTTGCTTACCACAACACACCACAGTATCGATTTGATTCGGGAGCAAAATCTGTTCACTGCTGGCCAGCCGAAGCCATCAAAAAAAATTCTGGAAAATGCAATGACTTTGACGTCAGTGCACCCGCTTACTATAAAATAACTGACTGTMAGRAMAAATACAGGAAGGTATGTCAAAGAATTGTATGTCATTCGTGCGGGATCCCTGTGCATTTTAGTACCGGGCCTATGCCATAGACAATTTACTTTTGGATTACATGTAAAATAGTCTATTCATGAACGAAAAAACGGTGCTTTATCTATTTTTTCAGGTCAAAAAACAGTCTATTAATAGTAAAATATGATATAACAAATTACATTTCATTAGCGTTTTTCGCATTATCTAGCCGCGCTTTGGGGAAGTATTGATTCATTATAATCACTAGTCTATTTTTTAATTAGCTCTCATGGTGGATTTGGTTTGGAGAGCGTAAAACATGCAATGAAGAGGCTATCAGCGACTGGGAACACATCAACATCAACTTTATCAAAGATGACACAACTGGAAAATGGATTCAAGACTCTGTGACCTTTTATCAATTTGATGGCTGGTATGTAAGCCGTTCGTACTAGTGATTTTAACATAAATGTGGTCACTTAAGTAATATATGTAATGATATGTAGTTCACGACCGCCAATATCGGACGGGACTAGTGACGAATCGTGGAAACGATAACTCAAACCCCGAGGCCTTCCATCTAGAAATCAAAGGTCGCATGTAGTGTCCAAAAGTTTGAAAGATGTATTGGTATTTTATCAAGGAAAAAATATACTCTTGCAAGAAACCATCGAAGTTCACTATACATGCATCAGTTCGGAGAACAATACGTCCGCCATCTTGAAAAGTGAGATCCGAATCGGGGAGACCTACTAGCACGCAGTTGATGTAATGTATTCATAAAATGTATTGTATTCCATTGTTTTGTATTATATCTTTATGAATATATTACATCAACTGAGTGCTACGTAGGCTCTCCCGATCCGAATCACTATGTTGTGCTTTAGAACACATTTCGTAGTTGCAAAAAGTCAACTCTTCTATAATTTTATCGTATTATGTTAATTTGACAATAGCTGCCGAGAAGTTTTAAATTCCTTTAGGAGTTATTATTTAGTGATTCGAGTACAACTTTTCAAGATGGCGGACGTATTTTTTCTCCAAAAGTACTGATGCGTATGAAGCTGTCCTTTGAGACCTTTGTTTAGTGATTCGTCCCCAGTGACCTGGTCGGCGACCGCCGTGACATATCGCGCCGTTTTGGAAGTGCGTACTAATCAAATATTGCGCAATATTTTGCTCTTTTTATCTCCTCAGGTTTACTACTAAGAAACTCAAAGGCCAAGTTATAGTGTATGTAGGTAAAGTTCGTCACGGAAGCTATGATAATTTGTGCCCTGAAGAAAAATGTAAMCAGCCTTGCGAGTACTGGAACGACTTTCGTGATGACAGACCGAATGGAAAACATTGGTTTCCAATAAACATTCAGGATGTTTCAGTGGTAAATAGAACCATCGCTTAATTAATATAAACAGGAGGACGCGTATGAGCGAATAGATTTATTTCTATTTTGTATGGATATACAAGGGCAGGGCACGTCACTCACGTGTAATCCTCTAACTCGAAATAAAGCACTCAAAAATTATTACCATCATTGAAAATTAAAAACAGGCTGAAGTTGCCAAAGTTTGAGAAAAATACATTGGAAAATCATGAAACAACAAATTGAAAAGGCCATGGWCCACCAGCATCCCTTTCGAGCTATTTAAGTTTGAAATAAAACTACATCGTACTATAATCAAAAGTTTAATCGTTATTATCCCTTTATGCCCTATGAACAGATATATTATTGTAAGATTCGGATTGACTTGGATTTCAAATGGATATTTTATATATGACAAATCTACTCTAAACCTCACCAGATAATTTACTTTTGGATTACATGTAAAATAGTCTATTCATGAACTTTATCTTTATCTATTTTTTCAGATACCTGAGGAGATTGGAAAGGYCGTACATGACCACAAGTACTTTTCCAACCAGCAGACCAACAGCTGCTTTGGTGAAAAAAACCGCTGTACTGTCGGTTCGTGTGGATGTTACCGCAATGACCACACGTTTCCGGCCCCGTAYTGTGACAAATAGATGTCCAGCTATTCTCCTCGCAGCCGTGTTTAGTTTCGGTCACGCGTAACGCAACCGTCTCCAAAAGGTTGCGTTACGCGTGACCGAAACTAAAGACGGCTGTGAGGAGACTAATGTCCCGCCGAAAACACTGTATTATGGGAATTTGTTACTCGTTTTAGTTGTGGGATGTCCARTGGAATGGGAAAAACTATATTGATGTTTTCTGATCGTGTTTAAATAAAAATGCCCTGCGCATTTTCGTACAGATTCGCAACGGAAAATCGAAGGTCCTGGTTGAAGACGATGCTGGAACACCCAAATTATGGGTCATACGATACATGCATAGCCTCCTTCGAAGCCTACTCCATCGGATACGGACATTTTTCTCTTCTTGGTCTTCCTGTGTTCATATTCTTGACCGAGAAGAACTGGTGTCGAGAGATTATCCTTCCTTCCTAGCCCCCTCCCCCTCCGGMAGCTTTTTTGCCTTAACACAGGAATCCCACGAAGGAGGCTAATACATGCATACTTATGGCACATATAAATGAAAAAATACAATAAGACTCTGCTTTGTCTCCAACCAGAGCTTTTCATTTTCCGTTGGGAAACTAGAAAGGATCTACGTACATGAATGTAGTACAATCTATATGAAATAAACTATACAGTTGGGACCGGAATCTCTCACAAAAATGCTTATTTTGTAATGAAAATTGRTGGATCAAGTTATAGCCGTTGATGAAGAAAAGTCCTGCAGGACCACGAAACAGCTGCTGGTAATATCTGTGCCGGTGTTAGGGCCGAGGGAAGAGAGAGATAGAGGGGAAAGGCTACAATCATTGACAAAATATGCAATGGCGCGGTTATGACTACCTTTTTGAGCCTTTGGGTTGAAATTGGAGTTTTGTGGATCCCCTTTCCACCCTAGGAACAAAGGTGGAACTGAAAGACGAACTGAAACACCATCTCTCTGACGACACCAACGGTACTGATGAGTTCACAACAACACTGAGTGGAGGGGGTGGGGGTGGGGTTGTTCTTGTATGAATAATAATTATGAAAACTCAACAATTTTGTCAATGATAGTAGGTTAACTTTTAAGGCCATGCACAATGCAATGAAATATTTCTTGCTGGAGCAGAGTTAGTAAGTCAGCCTGTACAAACCGTACATCATATGAAACACAGTCGACAACTCAGTAGGCAATGTGCAGCGACGCCATTTTGTGCAGCAAAGCATGATGGTAATTGTAGTCCTCGTACTTATTTGAGACCCTAAAATATCTCTCTAAGAGCTGTTTTTACATTTTCTTAGTAGAAACAATATAACTACTTCTATTTTTGCTTAGAAAAAGTAACAACTGCTMAGGAGGACTTTTGTAGAGGAAATAAAAAAGTTCGAGAATTCCAACTACCATCATGCTTTGCTGCACAAAATGGCACAAAATTTTGAATCAGTTCTTCACCATTTATGAGCGTTGCATGTGTTGCCTTCTTTTGCTTCCCATTGTTGAAATGTATTTATTTTTAACATTCTATACAAAATCTTATACACTATTATATCAAAGAAGTCTTTGCATTATTCTTGTATTCAATACACGTAAAATTCCAAATATGTAACCAAAATGCCTTATTCAAACGTTAATTGACTGGTGTAGGCACTGGTTTATTTTATTTTATTTTATTTTTTTTTTGGTGAATAATAATCTTATTGTATATCTAAAACACCAGACTCGTACCCAGTCGTTACTCTTCCTTTCTGGCGCGCGCAAAGGATCAAGGGAAGTCGAAAGAAAAAGTTGTTACGTTGTTACGTCTCTGTCTGGTAGTTCGGACTTCCCTTGATGCACCGCGAGCCGTAAAACGTGTAAGAGAGACAACTAGGTACGAGTCTGCTAAAACACCGTGTTTTCCAACCCATCCCAAAGAGAAAATGAAAAAGATGATGACGCGATCATATATTGCTTCCAGAAGYGTCTACTCATGATCATGATCAGCACAGAATGGAGCTGGGAACTCATGGTTGTTGCGCCAGCATCCACATGATCCAACTGTACAGCTGAACTTTAGACCAAAACAGCTGTTTAACTGCGGGTTGGAAAAGTGCTGATGCTCCAGTTTGAACTTTAACTTGCTAGGCACCTGTTAAGATACAAATTGCTAAGTCATCCAACTTTTCAATAAACAACTATATGCTACTTATTTTTACCAGTGAAAAGTCTTGAATGTTTATTGGAAACCAATGTCTTCCATTCGGTCTGTCATCGCGAAAGTCGTTCCAGTACTGGCAAGGCTCGTGACATMTTTCTTCAGGGCACCAATTATCAAAGCTTCCGTGACGGTTTTTTCCTACATATACTATAACTGGGTAAACGCTGTATTTCCTGGTATACCTGAGGAAAAATGGCACGCAGACTAAGTCGATCATAAGCCATRATTAGCGATTCTCTCCCGCAGAGAGAATCGAACCGCTAGGACACGTCTGCTTACGGAGGCTAATAGACCAATCCCGAATTCGCTTTAAAGAACACGGAACAATGGCTCCATGTCGAGGCTGGAGTTTTCGACAAAAGATAAAACTCCAGCCTAGGAATGAAGCCATTGTTTTGTGTTCATCCAAGCGAATGCGGGATTGTTCTATTGGACACGTCAAGTCGTCAGAAAATCAAAGCTTCTTACAAATTCTGCATGCTTTTACTTTCTCGGTCTTCAATCCTACATGGCTCTTTCCCCCTTATGACCTTGTCGAGATGCATCACGGGTTGAGTGCCTCACCTCTCGCTCATACCCCATCTGCACTCCCCCTTAAGTTAATTATAGGAATCTTACCAGCCACCGGACTGGAAAAAAGTCACAGAGTCCCGAGTCCAATTGCCTGTAGAGTCATCTTTGATTAGGTTGATGCTGATATGTTCCCAGTCATTTGGGACATGTTGTGGATCACATGTGTATTKCTTGCCGTAATATAGCCACCAAGAGAGCTGCCGAGAGAAAATTCAATCATTCTGAAGCAATTGTATAGTATTTTTTATTATTATTATGAAATATGATATAGCTGAAAATTCAAAATCCGAATTCATGTATTTTCTTATTCATAGTAATTGCTTCAGTGTTCAAACCAATGTCGGGCCTAAAGTCTTCATGGCTAGTGTCAGCGGCCTGCTGACGCATTGACTTCTATTGGATTGCAAAAGTGCGGTCTCCGGGTAAAACAATGGTTTTATGGTCGTAAAAACGTTAAATATAGATTTGCCAAAAGAGATGGCAATTCGTGCTACCCTTTTTGATAGTATTCATCAATTTCAGAAAACTGTGATTTTGTATATTACATAGTGCCTCCCAAGACCACAATGCATTGCTGCTAATAACCTTTCGCACAAAATGACAAAAGTTGCTTTCTGTTGCAGTTTTGAACTGTACGGAGCTATTACAGACTCTCTAACACGACAAAACCAGGAGGCTTTTCAACGGCGATAGAACCAATCTCGAGCCCAGAGTCTTCACGGCTAATGTCAGCGGTATGCTGACGCCGGAAAGACTCCAATCTCGAGCCCAGAGTCTTCACGGCTAATGTCAGCGGTATGCTGACTCCGGAAAGACTCTGGAGGAATCGACTACAGATTTGAGACGCTTTTCCGTCGCAAATTATGCAAATTATGTTTTATCTATTTATTTATTTTATTTTATTTTGTTTTCTTTTTTTAGAGCATCAGAATGATAAAAAAGRAGGTTTAGCACACAACGTAGTTTAGGAACAATATTGATACCTTTTTAAAAACAAAAATGTGTGAAAAAAATGTGTTTTTATGCGATAAAAGTATGATATTTTTGACTAATCTGGCGAGCGCCCGCTGGAGACTTGAAAAACCGACTTGAAAACAATGCRCSYTGACGTCATTTTCAACCAATCACGAATCGGGAAATAACGTATTCCCCCAGGGTCTCTCACGCATTGATTTCCGCTGGATGGCAAAAGTGYGGGCTCTGGATACGAGATTGCGATAGAACGAACAKTAATGATAGAGTATCACATTTYGWCAGAGGAAATAAAACATCGAACTTTACTGGTACCTTTCTGTATTTTCCCTGACAGTCTGTTATTTCGTAGTAAAGAGGTGCAAAAACGTTGAAATCTTTGCAAGTTCCAGCATTTTCTTCAATGGCTTCATCTGGCCAGCAGTGAACAGCTTTTGCTCCCGAGTCAAATCGATACTCTGGTACATGTTCTAAAGCAAACTCGAGATTTTCTGCAAATGAAACGTCAAATCAGTCACATTATGCTTCTAAGGTAGCAAGAATACTCCCTGAAGTCCGTTTTCGTGTTTAGTTGATTAAAAATGCAAGTAAATCATATATGGATCCATGCGGTTTTGGGCTTCCTTTTCTTTGAGTTAGAGGCCTGGTTTCTAAGGGAATTATAACATGACCGACATGTTGGTTGATTTGCTCTTTCTCTACAATTTCTGGAAGTTTAAAACCTTTTAAAGTCTTAAACGCTGGCAAAATCACAAAAAACGAGTTCATTTGCACTTCAAATAAGGTAACTTTACCATAAGCTTATAGGATGCAAAGTCGAGCAAAACGAATGTATCTTTTTCCAAGCAAATGGGAGGTTTCTCGTTTTTGTTCGGAGAAAACAAGGTAGCTTACAAGAATTTAATTAAGAAGGCTAATGTAGCACACATAAAAATTGCAAGCACAAAATTTCGCTGTATYCCTTTACAGCTGAAGTTAAATCAGTTGTAGTAGTAGTTACATTTATTGATTTCAAGCGCTTACCATCTATGTCATGAAGTGGCTCCGTGACTGCTGAGAGGACCAAAGCAGTAAGGCTTAGAAGTATCMGTTGCATAATGTCTGTTGATTGTTTGGGTAGACCTTTGTTTACAAAAAGGTTTTAATTCAAAATCATTGCAAACGTAAACAACTAAATTCCTACAAAAGTTTGAACTCTATAGATGTAATGGTTTATTAGATATTTAGCGTTCAGGGATGCCAGGTCTTAAATTGAAAGAGCTTAGCATTGGCACAATAAATTCTTTATAAAAATGAAATTTCAAAATCCGAAAGTATTTTTATAGGGGAAACTCAAATCTTCATGGAAAGAATTTGGTTACATTTTTTTTCTGCTTATTTAATGTTTGGTTAAAACATGAAATGCCTATTTTAATGCTATTGAAAAAAAATCTAAACAGAAGAAATAAAAGCTACTCTGAATGATASTGCTTATTACTGTAAACGATGATAATATGTATAAAATGTTCGATTAAGACAGCACCMTCAGAAAGGCAATCGAAAAATTTTATGAAATGGTTTCATTCAGATAAATWAACTTGCTCCAAATCTTAGTCTTTCGTCTTTTTCGCTTATGATAGCTGAATGTCYTTAGATATCCTCCCAGCACATTGCGCGACTTCACTTCACTTCGAACAGTGGCCACCACTTTGAAAAGCGTCAAAAACATGGCGACGGTGATCTATTCGAAAAGAATCTAGGCCACTCAAGATTAATAGTTGAAAAACAATTTTAACAAGCAAATTATATCAATTACAGGTTTAGCAATTAAAAAATAATATCTGGAAAAGGCAGTAAAACTCTATCCCTAGGCAAAAGGAAACGCTATAATATCAACAACGAATTTTGTTCAAATCATTTCTAAACTGAAATTTTTTGCATGACTGTGGCACCAAAAACAATTTTTTATTCTAAAAGTCAATGTCTTATACATATAGATTTTAGTTATGAGATATTTTCCGCAGTCACTAAGCTTTATATAGAGTTATAACCCGAGTTATAACTAGCACAAAACTTTCAAAGTCCCTTGCAGGCAATCAACTCTTTGTTACAAAATCAGAAAAAGTTTTTTTTTTTTTTTTTGTAGGATGTCAAATGATAATTTCAACTTTTACCCCTCCTAGTTTTCCTCAAACAAGTATTGTGTTTTCTGTGTGTCAAAGGAGGGGTAAAAGTTGAAATTATCATTTGACATCCTACAATATGAAGTATAGAAACTCCTTTAAGGTCCGAATCCGACAAATTTCAAGACAGAAAAAGTAACTTAGGCAATTTTTTTGAATTTCTTTCCTTAAACATTGCATGAAGACTTGAATTTCCAATTTCAAAATTCGTTTTCATTTCAGGCCATTTGCAAAAACTTTTTCGCACTGAGTTGTTGAAATGTATATTCTCAAAATTGAAAACTACAGAAGATATTGTTAATTTTAGCAGGATGTCAGGAAGACAATTACAATAATAGCAGTACATCTTGGAAAAAAGTAYTGAAAAAGCTTAACTCATTGTATTAAATATATATTTTTGCATTCTTAAATTTTCTTGACTCGCTAAAAATTAAATAGCAATAGTACAGCATCATACCAAAACAAAAGGGTTATAGTATAGAAAACGATGAAAAAAGTACCTAAGTTCTAAGTGTACCAACCTTCYTCAAGAACTCTGGTAGCCCAGTGATGCAAACGATCGTTATAGAATCTCTGGTAAAGATTGATCTAGGAGCTCGTTGCCTCAGGAAAATTACCGAAAATTTATTTTTTTTTTGTATTAACCAATCATAACTTGTTGAGCGATCATGTGACCTTCACATGAACCATCAGACTGTACAGTTTATTGACAAAATCCTTGAAAATATCAAAAGGAGAACAGACATAAATTCGGGCGGTTTGAAGAGGATGCCATCAAATTGATTGATTTTGGTTGGAAAGGAACCTTGATGGATACAGACGTTTAAAATTTAGGAAACTTACCTTCAATATAATTTCTCACTCTCTGAAGTATTCCTTTGAATGTAAAATCATCGGTSATACGCGCATKGAATATAATTCCTGGTCAAGGCGTATATTTGTCGAGTAGAACATTTACATAATTGGTAATAATTGGATACTTTTCATGTCAGATTTAATCATCTTTAAGATTAGCAGCATGCAACTCGCATTGCTGTATTTGTGTTTTTGATCAGTWAGAAATGTATGTTTATTAGGGTGTATATTGTTACTAAGGTCTTAAACTACACATTTTCACGTACCGCAGGCCTAGTTCGGGACCTAAAATTGCCCAAAATCGCAGTAAATCGCCTTAGATTTAGATGGGTTTTTGGTGATTTTTGCTTAGATCGCCTACAATCGCCCAAATTACGGTGATTTTAGGTCCCGGACTAGGCCTTACCGCTTATTTACAAAAATTAACGACATATGAAATAAATTCACAATTATTCAAACTACAACAACATGTAACCCAAAAGAATGAGACGCAAACAGAAAATAAAATCTGCAAAAATAAAATAAAAAAAGATTGAGCTACAGTATCCATGATTCAAATTTTGTGCAAATGAATTGATGAAATCACAAAATCATACAAAAAGACCAAATGGATGCTTATCTATCAATTAAGAACTCTTGAAAACCAGCTGTCACTATTTGTCATACAAGATTCTTTAATTATTGGAACACTGCAGGCATAGAAATTCATGGCAACTGAAGATTTAATCGCGCGGCCAAAAAAACTGAACTGAGGCGTCAATGTTTCAGTGTACAATGAGCGCAGGTCTTTCATTTATGCTCACTGTACCTTGACGCCTCGGTTCAATGCTTTGTTTGTGGTCACTAAGCCTCAATATGGAGTACTGTCTTTTTCAGTTGTGCATAATTCAACGGCTTTGTAGGTTATCATTTTTGAGCGATTACAACCTAAAAGATCTTTTTGATCATTTCCAAAGCGTGTGATAGATTTTATTTTGAAGAGGTTTTAATATTTATAATTTTGAAGGAAAACTTCGTGTTGCTTAGTATTTCAAAACCGATTTTGTGATACTTCGATAATCATAAAAGATCATATAATTATATTATTTGGTTCTTTCTTTCGAAGAAAACTCTTGTAGATCGTCAACTGTTTAGTTCTAAATGCAAAGAAGTGGCAGCCAGTAGTCATTTCATTGCATCGGTCTCCGCCATACTGGATGTCAAATTATGTAAACGTCTTCAAAAACAAAAGGAACGCAAACCGTCAAGCTTGACTTTTCTTTGTTTTGAACATCCCTGTGGGTATTTTGCCATCCAGTATGCCGGATTTAGTTCCATGTKCCCGTTTCATGCAAAAGGCCTAACGGAAAAATATGTCGGCATAGCACCTATAATCTTAAAAGTAAACGTTTCTACATTTATTCTACATATTTAATTTGTATCCATGCAATTATGATTTTAGCACTGGAAACTTAAAGAGTCCTGACTATTTGAAATACAAAGGCTGACATTTCAAATCGATGGCGGACATTGATAATGTTTTATTTATGACCACGTTCTTTATATCTGGGCGTTTTRATCATCCACTTTTTATATGCGGTTTTTTTTTTTAATTCAGTAATAAAGGTAATAATTGTCTTGTTTTTGTGATCTGGCAAATGATTATAAATTGGTTACYACGCGCACTCTAMTTGSTCAATAAGCCTGCTTTACTTCGTCATTTTAAATGGACGCCCTCTAGGGAATGTAGTTTTGCCTAAAGCACAAAAGGATGGATTTATTGCCGTATTTTATCAGGGAAATTAAGCAAGCACTTGGAGATATAGGAACACTCAATATAAAACGCCAAAAATCCTTCTCTTGTTCAAGATGAATATCACTTGAAAGGCAACTTAAACGTTTCAATTAAAAGATGTCAAAAAAGGGTCGAGAGATTTTCCGTCTACCGTGAAAAGACTATCTACCTTGTAGCAGTTGCTAGAGAAAGAAGCAATTAAGAAGTGAGAGAGCTATGGAGGGAGGGGGTGGAATCCAAAAAAACCGCCAAGGAAAATAGTCCACAAGAAAAATTGCCCAATTCTACCAGTTCCTAATTTTATTTTTTTTTCTTGGGCGATTTGTAACTCCGCTCAATTAAGAATMTACCAATATACCAGAAATCCGTAGATTCGCGCTAAAAAGAAGTCCAAATCCAACAATATCTGTGTCCCTTCCCCTCACTAGAAAGTCTGAAGGCCATGTTCTTTAACGGTCGATTGAAAATTACTCTAAACTTTATATAAAGAAAATATGTACGTAAGAGTTTTATTTACACATTTTGAATTTGCAGACATTTTGCCTAGTAAACACTTCACTCTGCTCTCAGTAGTTGTCAATCGAAACTAATTCCGGTTAAAAGTCTCTTTTAAATATTTAGTATATCATGATAAAGAGGCTTTTAAGAGATTTAGTTTTTTGGCACTTTAAACGTTAGAAAATGTCTACTCACTTTAATCTAGTAGCTTGATATCATCGTATATAGCTAAATTTCAATTAATCACTATTATAATTAGTCTTAAATCATCACGGCTATATGATATTGAAGGTGCTATTTGCATGAAAATGGCCTTATTTCAAAACTTCAARCAATACAAATATATGGCTCATTTATATCTATTAAAACAATYTYSGGRAAAMMWTTWRTTKT